CGGGGGGGGCCCCTGCCGTGGCTGGTTGTTTTCCCAGTCGGGACGCAGGGAGAGACGGGTCGTTTGGTAGGACCTGAAAGAGGCTTCAGCCGCGGGGAGGTGAGGCAAAGCCCTGGGTTTGTCTTTCTGGTCGAGCTCTCCCTACCATGACCCTTTTCCTCGCAGACAAACCTTATCGCTTTACGTTTTCTGCCGCCTCCCCTTTTCCGTCTCAAAGACAATGAGAATTTGGAGGGATGCCGCGCTTGGCTTCTGCCTCCTTTTTCCATACGTATAAACAGGCATAAATCAGCTTTCCTGCGAGGAAGCTGACCTGGGAAGTTGGCTAGGAAGATAAGTCCTTGTTCCAGGTCTGGCACGTTAATTCCCGAGCGGGGAGTAGGGCCAGGGGCTGCAGGCGGGTGAGGGACCGGCTTCTCCCAGACGCCGCTCAGAAGCGAAACCCTCCCCTGAAACAAAAGCAGACAAGTGGGACAGGTTCAGCTAATCGGGGAGGAGCTGTAAGTGTAGCCTCAGAGGGAGAGAAAGAAGGAAATAATGACTAACCCCCAGCCCGGTGCTCAGGGGCAGGCGAAATCCTGAGCTCCGCAAACTTCCCATCCTTCACCTTTGTGAAGTTCCACCTCTCCCTGCTCCCGCTTGTTTTGTTCACAATAAGGCATTTTCGTCATTTTCCCTCCTAGATTTCTATAACCCCAGTTGCACTCGTCGAGGGCTTCGGCTCAGGCGCGGAGTTTAACCTCCTCATTCTTCCCAGGGTGGAAAAAAAAAGACGTTCAGCAAAAAACACAGCCGTGCTGACTGCTTGAGACTTTGAAGGGGAAGGGAAGGGAGCGTCTGAAGAGCAATCGCTGGCCTCGTCCTGCGAGGACCAGAAATCCTCCGAGACTTACACAACCCCAGATCCGACGTGAGTGAGTGCAGCTTGCTGGAGGAGAGGTGCAAAGTCCCAGCGTTTTTTGTTTTATTTTGTTTTGTTTTTTTAAAGCTTGCAGGGTGGTCTTGAGGGCGAGCCTCTTATGCAGCTAGTAGCAAATAGAATTGATTGCGGATTTAGGCAGATTTTCTTGCATATACTCACTTTTGCCTGCAACCTACCCTTGTAGTCCTCTGCTGTCCCCAGCTCTCATAGCAGTTGTCTTTCTCCACTCTGGCTCTCCCGGGGGTTCTGTCTGATGTGATGTATTCTTCTGATAGGGTGAAGAGGTTGCTTCAGGAGAAAGCCTTTTTTCACCCCCATCAGCAAGACCTAAACGTTTCGTGGCACTGGATTTGTGCACACTAAATCTCCCTTATTAAACAACAATAGACCAGCTGAGCAGAGCTGCCTCTCCCACCCAGGAGGTGAAGGAGCTCCCCAGTTCAGCTAGTGACACAATGCACAGTTTATTTAGACAATGTGCATTTAATTTAACGCGTTCAAGAAAAAAAAAAGTTATGTGGAACTGGATACAGTTTTGCCAAATCTTCTGTCTGGTTCCTAGAATCTAGTAGACACCGAAAGGAATAATTTTCAAATTTGAGGGTAAAAGTCAGTTATTAATTCATAA